GCTCCAGGTGGATTGTGTTTAGTCAGAACTCTCCACCATGACCTGTCCATCTTGGTATCCCTGCATGGCATAGCCATAGCTTCTCTGAATTACTCAAGCCCCTTTGCCACGACAAGGCAGCAATCTATGAAGAGGATCATGTTGTTTAGTTCAGCTCATTTAAATGATATAGGAAATGTTTCTTCTACATATGAAAAGCAAACACTCTCTCCAATTTTTGATAGTTCTTTCAGTTCTTTGCTGAGTAAGTATCTAAATAAGTATCAAAACATAACATTCTTAAATCTCCTTCTTAAGAGACAGCAAAACACATCCTCCCTTCCATGGTTTGCTTCATCCACAATGTTTGCCAGATTTCTTTGCAATCATGGTGTACATCAAACCTTGGTTTCATGTTTTGCTTAGGAGAAAAATCGTAGTTAGTGTGAATCATATTGGCAGTGATGCAGACACAACATGATGTCATATGAAAATAAACTATGAAGGGGATGGGATTTCATATCCTCCTCTTTCATGGGACATGATTAGGAGACTTGGAATGGCATGTTGCACACAGAGTTGGTGGAGAGAGTATTCCATAAATTGTGAGGCAGGAGTCTCTGTGTGTACCCTTTTGTTGAACAGTTCACATAGTTAACAAAATTAAGAAGGCATGTTAAATCAATCTTAATTTGAAATAAGATCACTATAGCAATAAGCTATTATAGTTTATGGTATGTGATGCTGAATAACTATACACTTCTGCTGTAATCTTCCTCCTTGTTAATTATTACAGTTTTTCCATTTTATTCTATATTCTGTACATCAGCTGGTCCCCACCCTTTTTAGCCCCGCGGACTGGCTGGGGAAGGCGGGGCACCCCACTGTGCTTGTAGGCATGCATGAAGGCACATGTGTGCACTTGTGCACACGCACGAAGGGCAGTGCAGTGCTCGTGCACATGTGCAAAGGGCAGCGCAGTGCACAAACAGGCTGTGTGGGGGAGCATGTGTGTGTGTGTGTGTGTGTGTGTTTGTCTGTCTGTCTGTCTCCGTGGCTTGGTCCTGCTCAGGCCACGGACCAGCACAAGGCTGCGGACCGGGGGTTGGGGACCTCTGCTCTACATCGCACTTTGGACAAATCCTTGCTAAACTAGTTCAAATATGAAAACCTTGCAATGTGTATCCCTTTGTTCCCTGAAATTTTAAGTGGTTCCACTCTGAGTTATTCCAAACAATCTCCAGAAAGCAACTGCATGGATAATTTTTTTAAGCAGAAGAACAAAAAAGGCAGTTGGTAATCGAGTTTAAATTATTTCCAGGAAGGCGCAAGAAAGAATAATCATAAATTGCTTAAAGTTGTTGGTACATTGTAAATGAGCCCTTCATGTTGTCAGCATTTTACAGAGAACTTTCCCCTTTGGGAAAGTATAATTAATTTCCTTCAAAGTATATTTTAATAGAGTTAAAAAAAAGAGAGAGAAGGAAATGGAGTTTGCATTTGCAAAACTAATCACTAGGTAGGAGATATATGGGATTAAAATGATAATTGTGCTCTTTCATTGTAGAAGCCGAGCCTGGTCAAAGTAGTGGCATGGATTGATTATGAAACTCTGGCCCTTTTGTTTGGAATGGTAATTAAAAGCTTCTATATTTACTCTGTGACCTTAACGTTCTCTATTTTTTAAAGAAGTATGAAGCATTATTGTGTTGAAAGTATGCAGTTTTTGGAATGAGCTGAAATAACAGCAATTCCTTCTGAAGCAGTTTAGAAAATTGGAATTTGGCACATGCAAAAGCTTGAAAGGGAACTTGACTGAGGTTGGGTGTGTTTAAGGTCAGCCAATCTAGGATTAATTTTGTCCAAAAATATGAACCTCTTAACTTTGTGACAGGAGAAATCCCTTCAAGATGTAAATGAGGGCAAATAGCTGCCTAATTTTGTCAGAAGGAAGGTCCCAAAAGTCGGTAGAAGGAGGATGGCACGTTCTTTATTTACTTTAATATAGTTCTTTTTCTTTTAAAATTATTCTCCCCATAGATGCTTCTGGTTGCCATCTTTTCTGAAACTGGATTTTTTGATTATTGTGCGGTAAAGGTAAGTGTGGTTTTGTTTGCTTTGTCTTTGAGAGAAACCATTTCTCTCCTATTTTAAGGAGAGTTTAAATGTCCTTCAGCATATGTTTTGTATCAAATTGCCACTAATATGCTTAAGCCCTCCTTCTTTCAATTATTTATTTGCTTCAACTCAAATTAGTGCTTTAAGGCTTGCAAAAAAAAATTGATAGTGCTCATCATGTAATTTTGTGGGAACTTAAACTGACTGATGATGTTTTTAGAGAAATTGTCTTAGAATTGGTGGGTAAAAACTGGGCATATTCCTCTTGGTTAGACTCTCGTAAGCCCTTTCGAATTCAATGGCACTGAACATTTTCTCATGTCCATAGGATCTAGAGGGCCAATTCATACTAAGGCTAAAATCCAGTAGTCAATCACAACTAGAGTAGACCCATTGATTGAGATGGGATTTGATGAGTCAACTCCTCTGTGAGTTCTATTGTTTTAATGGGCCAAATATAGTTGCATCTGACTACTGAATTTCAGCCAGTATGTCACAGTAAATGTTTACTGCTAAACATATAGGAACCTGTCATCAACTTCAGTTTCCTAATATATTCATCTCTATAAAATACCGTGGTGCCTCGCAAGACGATTGCCTCGCAGAACGATTAATCTGCAAGAGGTTTGGTTTTTGCGATCGCTGTGGCGCATGGCAAAACATAATCTGCAAGAGGATTGGTTTTTGCGATCGCTGTGGCGCATGTTTTCTATGGATCATTTTTTAAGACGACGATTTTTCCCCATTGGAACACATTAAATAGATTTCAGTGCATTCCAATGGGGAACCATGTTTCACAAGACGATGTTTCCACAAGACGATGTTTTTTGCGGAATGAATTAACATTGTCTTGCGAGGCACCACTGTACATTTTACGTATATTTAGAAAAAATAATCTTAGCCAGGGCTCAGTTTTCTGAAATTGTACCTGTGAGAAATATGGTGGAGTATATTCAGATTTTTCTGAAAGGCATACTGGTTTTATGTTGCGTAATTGTGGAGAGGAGCTAGGTTTACCAAAGCTGATGATTCACACAGCCTACTCTCCTAGTGTGTGGTAGCCATTGTACCGTCAATAAACCTGACTGTACATGAAGACAGCAGATCATTGTTTCTGATGATCTCTTAGATACTACACAACCACTACGGTCATGATAGAGCATACCTAAGGCTCTTTGACATGGTAACATTATTTGGCTGCTTAGATACCTAGTCTTATTAGCTGAGATATTTTTAATCTTAAACAAAGTCCTTACAATGTCTAGTATATAGCTTGGTTTAGGGGTGGGTATAACCATTTGAACATAGCAAAAAGGGACACTAGTCCTGTTGGTTTGTTAAGAGGGCCAGCAACTTTCAGAAGTCTGAAAGAAAACACAAGAGATCTAGGCTGCCTTGAGCTGGAAACAATCCGACAAGCACAGAGCAATATATGGTACACCATGATTAACTGAACTGAGGGATAATGGTGTTTCATTTCCTCTGAATTACAGAGGGCCAGCTCTGTCTTGAGACAGGCCAAAATCTTACTGGGTAAATTTATGCCCGCACAAGCTGATGATGCCATCAGCTGTGGGTCTTTATTGCTCACTAAAAGTTTCCTGTTCTGCACAAACAGACACTCTGGTTCTGAGGCTCGTTTGTGATACCTTTTGACACAAGGAAGCCTTTGCGAGCTTCAGGATAAAAGATGGGCAGGAGAGCCTTTAATGCCCCCAAATTGTTCCCATCGGTCTTGCCAATGGAACCTAGGGTCAGATTGTATAATAATGTTTGCTATTGTCTTCAGAAATTATGTGGAGACCTGATCATACCTGTTTTCTCTCTTAATTTTATTGGTGCCTTAAACATTATGTTATTCAGGCCCTTTTCACTCTCTTTTTGGTATGTTTTTTCATTAGGCTTACAGGCTTTCTCGAGGCAGAGTGTGGGCCATGATTATCATCCTCTGTCTTATTGCTGCAATTCTTTCAGCCTTTTTGGACAATGTTACTACTATGCTCCTCTTTACTCCAGTAACTATAAGGTACTTTTTTGTGTTATACTATGCTTTATTATATTATGATTTTACTACATTCGTGCTCTGGTTTATACTTTGAACAGGAGGTTCAAAGTTGATGAAACTCAAAGAAGTGTAAGTGAGTGCAGCCAGGAGCAAAATAACTACATAAACCAGACTTTAAAAAAACTGCAAGTGGAATTTCCACTATAGAGTATTCTGCTCTTCAGTGGTCCAGCCACCTTTCCAGTTCAATTCTACCTGTAACCTCCTCACCATTTAATACACCGTTTGTTTCATGCAGTTTATATAGCTTTCCACTAGGCCAAACATGTTCTCTGTAAATAACATCTGAGTGACAATACCAAGGTTGTTGTTTTCTTGGTAAATTACTAAGGATGTCCAATTTATTTTTCCTATGAAAAACAACCATGATACAGGTTTGATAAATGGAAAGTAAAAATTCCCCTCAGCTTTTCTCAACTATCAGAAATAGGAAATATTTGTGACATGTTGATTTATTTCAGGGCTATTTGCTATGTTTAGGGGAAGTGGGGGAAAACGGAAGATTGGAGGAGGTGTGATTTTTATCATAAAAATGATACTGTGGAAAATCATTCTCCTCTTTGGTCTCTGTGAATTATGCCAGTGTGTTATCCTACACTTAAGTAAAGCTAGTTTGGAATCTTCTGGGACTCGCTACTGATTTGGTTGAAGTTCCTCCACTATGCTTATCCATTATTCCATTTCTATTGGGGTATATGAATTTACCCCCAAAAGTGAGTGTTGGAGAAATCAAATACAAGTCTTGGCCTTGATTTGGCCTCACCGAGGAAATTGATTGCTAATGCTTAAAGAGATGATAGATCCAATCACAGGCCACCTATTTCTGGTCTAGTCTGGTTCACAACCTGAAAATGTGTAAGGAGAACCAAGGATGAGCACTTCAGCCCCATCCCTTCTACTCCTGAATTTATTATTTTGTAAATGGGGCTGTTCTTGGCAGAGTATAAAATTTAGGCTAGGGGGGGAAAAAAGCACCTTTTGCACAGTGGGAGAAGTTCAGGGACCTAAAGAGCTGAATTCACTTCAACTCTCCCCATAGCAGACCACCCCTTATTGTTTCTTCTCTTCAACTGGTACTTAACTTGTTTCAATAACTTACTGAGTGATGCTGGTAAGAGAAAAAATAAAAATGATTCCATTTACTCACAGTCCTGAATAGATCAAAACAAGGAACATTCTGTAGAAAAGTAATGACTGGTTAGATGAACAGCGCTTAACCAATTTATAGCTGCATACTGACTAACTACATGGTTGGCTCTAGTAATGGACTCTAACCGACTGACTAAACATGAGTGGAAAAGAAGTAGAGAAGTCTTAGAGGGAACAATTAGTTGCTGCCGGATTGATTGACAGTCACTTCAGTCCAGAAAGTCCTGCCCAGCTTCATAAAGGCAGCATAAAAAATTACAATGATTCCAAAGCTCTAACTGCTGTACATGACTATAGGTGTCTGTGGGACGGGACGCCCTGCCTTGGAGTTCTTGTGTTCAGCAAGAGACAGAGTTCTATTTTAGAATTTCTGTGGTAACATGAGGTCAGCTGTGGAAGAGGTTACAGGAAGGACAAATTCCATCCACCAGCTGAGAGTAAAAATTGGGAAAGCCCTCCATGGATAAATCTGAATGGCTAGTGTGCTTTATTTATATTGGGCACATTCTTTTCAATAATAAGAGCCTGGTTACGTGGATGGTATACCTTGCACTATCCATCAAGGTTATTTCATTTGATTTATAATTATGTGGCAGTCACATGACTATAAATTGCTGCCAAAGTTCTCAGCTACCCAGTTCATGGGTGGTGAAGCCCAGCTGCTTCAGTGTCTCAGCTTCACTGAGATGAAGCAGCAGCCCGGCTTTACCGTCCATCGACTGGTTACTGTAGCGCCTCCTCAGGCCCAGAGATATGCCTTGCTGCCACTTCTGCTCTCAGCCAGCTCTCAGATGGGTGGTGAAACTGGGCTGGTGGGTATGTGTGTGTGTGTGTAATTCCTGCTATCTGCTATAGTGCAGTATCAGAGAGCAGGAATTAAAATAAAAACAGGGACATAGGCATTCACACATGCAAAATCAATTTCAATGAATCTGCGCTTAACTGAATGGACCTTTGGTGGAGGAGAAAAAACCTCACTGCCACTAAAAATATCACAATTACCTTTCAAATTAATCCATGCTTACACATTCCTCAGGTAACCATCCAAATTTAAATTGACCTAAAACATGCCGAACCTAATTTAATTTAAATGGGGTGGTGGTGGTTTGGTTATGGGATTGGGCTCTGAGCAATGTTTTGATGTCTGTCCAATGTATGAATATTTATTTATTTATTACATTTCTATACCACTGATCTAGTGGAGAATTGCTACTCTGGGCAGTTCACATCTAGGTAAAAGATCTCCCCACCTCCCAAACAAAGAAAACCAAGAGACACAGACATCATATAACAACAGAGAAATGCATATATATGCCCTGATGAGAAGAGTATTAGCAGAGCAGAATATCAGATTTAAATATTATGGCCCAAAAGATACCTACTGGAGAGGGAGGACCTTCTTAAAGGCTTCTTTACAGAGCCCTGTTTTAACAAGCTTTCTGAAAGTTAAAGGAGAGGGGGTCTGGCATACATCCACAGGCAGAGTGTTGAATATTCTGTTTATAAAAACTGAATATTATGGTATTAACTTATCTCTGCTTCTGCATTTTGCTTCAGGCTTAGTGTATATTCACCCCCTCAGACAAGGATCAGTGTCTATCAACTCTCTTTAATTATTTTGTCAACATACAGCCTCATTGCCGTGCCATAATTTCCAGTTCAGGGTGCTCTTTCAGCACTATTTTTGCATGCTTGCTTTGTGAAGTGCATTTTCCAATTTTGTTCACTGCTTTTTAGAAGGCTGCAAATATTTCAATAGCAATTATACTAGGAACTGATACAAGGTCTTGCTAGATTAGTCTGCTTGAATAGCAATCACCTGTTCCCACGTTAACATCAGATGGAGCTGCCTTTGAGTGTAGTGGAGACACTTGTCTGTCTGGGTCTGATTTGGGTCTGATTAAATAGCTAAGGATGCACATTCATGGAAATGTATCTCACAAAACACAAATTGCAGCAATTTCCCTTTTAAAGTGTGAATACGAACAGTAAATATGAATGAATGACTGGCAAATGAAATGATCAGCACATTTGTTGGCTTGTTAGTCCTAAACATGATGCATTTTTCTTCCTCTGATGTCATGATCATCTAGTTTCTAACCATCTTACTTATTCAAGAAGATATAAAGGCATGCCTGGTGCTATCATTAGGTGGAGCAAGCCAACAAGCAGAGTGGCAGGTGTTGATGGGGCAGGGTGGGGACTGTGGGCGGGGTGGGGACTGTCGGACCCTCCCAACCACTTCTCCTCTGGCCATTTCTCATTGCCCTCCCAACGCCGGAATAAAGATGCAAGACAAGAAATATGGGTTAAATCACGGGCCACACTATTACAATCAGTGTTGCCATCGTTTGGCAAAGGGGGGCCTGCCATAGTGTGGGATCAGGTTAAAAGGCAGAGGGGGCTGCCATAGTGCGGAATCAGGTTAAAAGGCAGAAGTCTCACCGGACCCCTAAACAACAAATGGGTGAGTCCCTGGCCCCAAGTTTTCATGGTCCTAAAGACAGTGAGAACCTGGCCGGCCGCAATTTGACCACCCCCTGGCCTCAAGCCAGCTTTTCTTTGTTGATTGTTGGTCCAGTTGTGGCCCCAGCGCGTCTCTCCCCCCCAGGCACTGTCATCGCACGATCTACAGCGCTGGGAGGTCAGATGGGCTACTGCTTACCTGAATTTGCAATGGGACTCACCAGAAAACCTGTTATATCCACACTACCTGCCAGTGTGACCGAATTAACACCTCTCAACAAGCCAGCGCCCTGTTCCAGTGTGGGATTGGTGAAAAATCCCTGCATCTAAAAGCCAATCAGGATACAGGTCAAAAATTCCTATCCGGCCCCAGAGGTAACCAGATAAACTCACACTAGAACATGGGGTGAGAGGGTGGGTGCCAGAAAAGGAAGAGGACAGGGAGAGGGGGGGAAACATCCCTTAAATAATCTAACATTCCCCCCTCTCGCCCAATTGCTCTCGTGAGATCAAAAGGTCTTGCGTTATCCAGGGAGGGGGGCAAAGGCGAGCTGAGCTGCCAAAGCCTTAGCTCAGCAGCGGCTCGAGCATTCGGGTTGGAGAGCTGTGTCTGCACTAGACATTCTGCCATATACCCACCCAATCTCGCCTGCTGCCCCACAGGGTAGTGGAAGAACTGATGCAGTGTTAAGATAAGCTTGAACAGCCAGTCCAATTTGCTTTTGCACTGAGAGAATATAATGTCTAGTCCTGCTCCCTAGATGCTAAAGTGCCTATCAAACATGATGCTTGGCCAAGATAAATCTGAATGGGGGCCTAGGCACATATATACACATAGGTGTAGTATATACTGTATGGCTCTTATGATACTCCAGCATTAAAGGTGGATGGGAGGTAGTGCAGCAGGGACTAGAGCTAATTCATAACGGTTTTTATATTGGTGACAGAAATGGTCGAATAAGGTTCAGACTGATTTTGGCAATCTTTAAAAGGTTTGAACTACATAATTTATTATATCTTTGATTGACTTAATTTATATCCTGCTTTTTTTCTAAGAAGGACCCAAGGCAGGATGTTGCCTATGTTTGATATATGTCTTCAAACATAGGCAACAAACAGAGTGTTCAAACATATATAACAGAAAACTTAAAATATAATCACAGCAATAACAGGTACTAAATAAAATTCCTTCAAAACTATTTAAAATACAATAAAAAGTTTAAAATAAAAAGACAATCCATTAAAACCGCTTCTTAGCAGCAAGTTACTTTTTATTATAAGCCTGTCTAATAGTAGAAGGAAAGTAGGGAAACAGGTTTATCTTGAAAAACGGTTAAAAGCTTAGT